AAAAAAAAAGGCAGCTGCCAGGTTTATGAATCACCTAAGGGGTGAGGAAGTAAACACACACACTTCTGGTTAATGGTACAGAAATCTAGAGTGGCTCCTCTCTTATCACATAAAGGAAATATATGGTTGTAGCAGTGGGACCTAACTCTCAGAAAGTCAGATAAATTCAGATAAACTCAATGCTTGCCTCTTTGAGAGTCTTAGAAATTTCACAAGCCTAATATCAGGGGATCGCTGACGTTAAAAAGATAAGGAGATAGAGACAGCATCACTGTACATAAATAAAATCTTGTTACAGAAAGTAACCCAGTTACTGAATCAAGGCAGTTGAGAATTGAAGTGACTGCTTCCACGTGGATAGGTAGTGAGCAAATGGCTGAGCATGAAATCAGTGGGACTTTGAGAGGATCCCAGTTGGCTTGCCAAAACTGATCAGGAAAATGCAAGCCTGGTTACCGAAGGAAAATGAAATTTGAGACAAGTTTTAACTTTTTAAACTTGCTGGCTTATGTGATACAGGGATATGCAAGATCTCTCTGAGATTTTTTTGGGTGGCTGAGGGGAAATGCAAGTACCTAAAATTACTCTTACAAAGAAAAATAAAAAGCCAACCATGCAACAATATTTTTATGGCTGTGTAGGTAATATCCATTTGGACAATATTCTGACTTCTTTTTAACTTTCATTTTGCACTATTTATACATTCACAAGAAGATGCAAAACTAGTAAGGAGAGGTCCAGTATACCCTTAGCCCAGTTTCCATCAATGGTTCCCTCTTGCATAACTAGCATATCAAAACCAGGAAGTTAGCATTGGTACAGTGTATATGTATGACTCTGTGCCATTTTGTCACATGTGAAGACTCATATGACCACCGCTGCAGTCAAGATACAGAACCACTGTATCACCACAAAGATCTCATGCTACCCCTTTATCACCTACAGCCATACCCATGCCCCTCCCCTCTGTCACCTCCAATCCCTGGATTCTTCTGTTCTTCATCTCTGTAATGTTGTCGTTTTCTAATATTTTTTAAAACTGAAGAAATGTATTTGCTCTCTGCTTTTCCTAATTTAAGCATCCACATAATAAAGGACTTAGAATCCAGCACTTTAAAATTTTCAGTTTTTTAAGAAAAATCTACGTACTTCCTTTTATTAGACAGAAAACCGTCTAACCCAGTAAGTTTTAAGGCTATACGCTTGTGGCTCCCATCATGCAGCTAAACTCACCCCTGTACCTTGTACAAGTACGTCTCTCATCCCTTTAATAGATTTTTGCTCTTTTATTTTCAGTTTTCTCACTTTTTGTTTAATATGGATGGCTTTGGGATGGTGCCTTCATTAATTTTTGGAGGAAGTACTATAAAGATTGTAAATAAAAGCACTTTGGTGCAGTAATAAAAATGTTTAGCCTTTGCCGACTGCTTACCAAACCAAATAAGTGCTTCACGTGAATTAACTCAGTTTATTCTCACAGCCCTAGTATGTAGCTGAGGAAACTGAGGCACAGGAAGACTGGATAACTTGCCTGAATTCACACAGCTGGGAGTGACAGGGCAGAGATTCCAAACCAGGGAGTGAGGTTCCGGAACCTCGCTTGTCCTCATTATAACACAACTTCCAGTTTGCGTTATAATGTCACTGTGTAATGAACTGGCTCCTTCAAGGAATAACTGAATTGCTCTTTTAAATTTCAGAAATTTAATTTTTTGTTACAGCGAGTCTTTCTTACTGTTGAAATTTTTTTTCTTTCACACCCACATGGTGACCTATGAAATACAGCCATCGGAGTAATATAGGGAGCCCCGGGTAAATCCCCCTCAATCAGCCTCTCTCTGTATCCAGTTCTCCCAATAAGGTAAAATCATTAAAAGGTTATGTCACAAAACAGCTCAGGGGAGAAAATATGTCCCAAAGGGCAAGAGAAGGGCTTTTGGTGGAAGCGGAAAAAAAAAATGAACCAACCCAATTAGCCTTGGTGATGGAACAGGTAGAGAGGGTAAAAGCCTCAGGGCTTTCAAATGCTTTCATTGCCTGACCGAGCCCTCTCCTCCCCCATTTGCTGTCCTTCTGAGTCACGCCCATCTGCCCAGAGTGGAGTCCAGGCCAGTTGGCAGGATGCAAACAATTGTGTTGGAGTGAACAGGCCCTTCATCTGGTATGGGAACTGCAGACTCGTGTGCTATGTGTCGCAGACCACATTCCTAAAGCAACGTCACTCAGCCACGTAAAGCTGCCTACAGAAATATGCGTGAACGTGGCTGTGTGCACACCCCACTAAAGTCTGTACACACGGGAGAGAATACCAAGCACCCTAAAGACCAAAACGCAGAACACAATCACAGCAAAAATTCACCTGGAACGCAAAATTATCCCAAACAGTTATTTCTGAAGTTCATATAACAGGCCATTTGGCATGAGACTGGATTATTCCATTTTCCTTTTCTTTTTAACACCTCCTATTAATTTAATTTACTTCTGATTAGTGTCCTTCTACAGAGCTCATTTATATGCTTTGCTTTGTGCTCATTAAGTTTAATTAATTCAGTGAGAGCCAAGTCCTCTATAGACTCTAAATAATTTTTACCTGTCAGATGTCTTTGATGGAAAGAAAAAGCCAAAAGGTCATGAGGCAACAGATCTTAGCTAGCTATAGTTAAAACTACTCCTACCGGCCTTTTTGAGATCTGTCAACATACACAACTGTGCCCAGTGTAGTGTTAGACATTTTTTTCCCTTAGGCTCTTCTTGGTCAATTTAATAAACTGCACTTTCACAGCTTGTCAGTAAAAATATCTCAAGAAACTGTACCCCAGAATCCATGCACAAATGGCCAAAATTTAAATAGCATTGAGAATGGTGCTAAAGTAATCTGACCATTGATACAGTACGTGTACTTACTAATATGTTTTCTAATAGTACTAAGTGGATGACAGTAGAAAGTTAAAAGATCTTCAAAGCTACTTAAAATATGCATTTAAACTTATGACTCAAACTGACAACAAAAATATCTGTTTATTCCTTGACTAAAAATTTTAGTATCTCTCTGGTTTTGAGATTTCATCTCACATGTCTTTTTGTCCCTTGATATCAAAGATAGGTGTGTTGCTGGTTTTTAAATGTTTCTAGTTAGGCCAGCAACTATTCAGCAAGAATGCACTGCCTAAAATTATTCTCGTAGCCGAGGATTTAACTGATCTGCTCTTTCTTATTCCACATCACCCTCAAGCAATTGAAATCTAAGTGGAGGGGCTCCTGGGTGACTCAGTCGGTTGAGCTTCCTACTTCGGCTCAGGTCATGATCTCACAGTCTGTGGGTTCGAGCCCTGCATCGGGCTCTGTGCTGACAGCTCAGAGCCTGGAGCCTGCTTCACAGTCTGTGTCTCCCTCTCTCTCTGACCCTCCCCCGTTCATGCTCTGTCTCTCTCTGTCTCAAAAAAATAAACATGAAAGAAAGAAAGAAAGAAAGAAAGAAAGAAAGAAAGAAAGAAAGAGAATGCCAGAACCTTCTTTATTCAAACATCTCCAGAAAAATATTAGCCCAGAATTGTTTTAAGTGTACAAGGTATCCCAAGGTTCATGAGTCAGTACTAAAATGAAATGCCAGCATGTTCATTCTGAACCACGATGACACAGTGACCTAATGTTTTCCAAGCCTTTTTAGCACTTAGAGAGATGGCTGTTAATCCCTTAAGTGCCTTCTTAGGGTCTCACCTAAGAACACATTTATCTTCATTAACTCATGTTGAATGTAAAAGCCTTGATTATGCACCAAGGTCATGGGCAAGGTCAGTGTGATGTGAACAGACCCTCTTATAAATCATGGAGAAAGAGCACCTAGAGGTTTGTTTGGTGGGGATAGGGTTGAGCACACATGCTGACTCACATGTAATTTGTTCATGCATGTGATCTGTTCATGGTTTGGAGGCCTGAAATGCTTGTCCTCAAAACCTACGATCACATTTCTCTTTAACAGTGTACGAATGAGAGCTTTGCAGAAATGGTTTGTTGTCCCTCTAAAGTCTATATTTTACTCAGATGCCACTCGTGCAGTTCAGGTACCGTAAAAAGGAGTGACGGTCCACCAAGGACATTCAGACAAGATGATTCAGTAGACTTGCATTCCCAACCACTGTAGCTCTTATGGTGAAATATTTTTCTTTTCTTCCTTCCTTCCTTTCTTTCTTTCTTTCTTTCTTTCTTTCTTTCTTTTTCTTTCTTTCTTTTCTTTCTTTCTTTCTTTCTTTCTTTCTTTCTTTCTTTCTGCAATTTTTTCAAGTATAGTTGACACACAATGTTACATTAGTTTCAGATGAACAACATAGACATTTGACCAACTGATACATTATGCTATGTATGGTGAAATATTTCCTTAATTATACCAGCAAGTCTTGGGGAACTTTCTCATGGATGTTACAGGAAGCAAAAAGAAACATTCCTCCTGGAATTAGGCTGGGGACTTCCCTGTAGTACACTATTACTACACACACTACACACAAGTGTAGTGCAATTTAAACATACAGCCCCTGGAGCCAGTCTGCTTGGCTTCAAATCCTGGCTTTCCCACTTAGGTAGGAGCCATGAAAACTTTCTGTGTTTCAGTTTCCTCTTCTACACAATAGACATAATAATGGTACCCATTACTGTCGGGGTGCTGTGAGAATTACACGAGTGACTACAGGGAAAGCCTCTCACCACACTTTCAGGCATTCAGTAAGTGCTCAAAAAGCAGCCCCTGCCATTATTTTTCATGTCCAGTGTGGGAGGCCATATGTCCTCACATGTCCTCATCACGGTCCTATGACCTTTCACAGAGGAATTCTGCCTAGTTGTGAGTGTTCACAATCTGAAGGATCTGGAAAAAAAAAAAATTAAATGATTATAAAAAAAAAAAAAAAACGTAAGCTATAATCTGAACTAGAATGGCTATTTGAAAACTTTAAGAAGACACTGTTGCAGAATTTCATTTTGAGCCCAGGCTCCCCTAGTCCCCTTCAAGGAGGTCAGTAAGAACAGCTGTTCCTTGTAACTAAGAAGAGAATTTTTAGCCAGAGGCTTCGTTTTATGGTTAACAAAAATGCTAAGCAATAGTCTTCTGATCAGGGCAGGGGAAACTAGTTCTTCAGGAAAAACATAAACATCCAAGAATGATCATGAAAGTGTTAAGATTGAGATGGCTACAGCAGCCCAGTGACACAGTTTTAATAAAATAAAACTTTTCTTAGAGTTCAGCCCAGGAACCGTGATGCTATCCATTTCCAAAACACAAATAATAAGTTAATTTGAAAATACTTTGGATTCTTATAGGCCATTTGTTTTATACCTAATAAAGTGAAATAGGGTAATATAACACCCACTATAAAATCTGTTTTGCTAAAATGTCAGCCTTCGTCTTTACTAATGAGGCTGTAATTTTGTCACATTTGCCTTTTATATGCAACATCACTTTGGAGTAAATAAGGAAACAGAAAAAATAATTTGAAGCACATCGAGAAATAGATTTAGACATGCAAATGTTTCTGTGGTCCTTCATTTTCCTCTCTCTCTCTCTCTCCTCTCTCTCCCTCCCTCCCTCCCTCCCTCCTTCTCTTCCTCAGCTTGATCTTTTGTTTGCTTATTTGTTTAAATCGGGACAATATTAAAATCTAAAGATTAGTGACTGGTTAGACTTTTTGTTATTTTTCTGGTCTTTTAAAGTGTATCCGCTGAGGATTACAAATGAAGTTCCCATGTTTTAATTACACATGACACCATGTGTTTCAATTAATCTGTTAATTATACCTATGCCTATACAAGGAAATCTGAGTTTCTTATCAGAGGCATTGCAAGCATTTGCATGATTCAAGTTGAAACCATCTTGTGATGTTATTCTTTGATTTGAAAATTGATGAAATGTAAGCTGCCTGAAACATGAACAAAGGGAAAATGAAGACTGATAGGGCAGCTAATGAAATAAAGGAAGTCCAAGGAATTATTTTATGGTAGGCGCTGATTAATGAGGATAACTAACAGCAAATATCCCTGGGGAGAATCATTCCATGTCTCTAGAAGCCCTTTGAAGAACAGGTTGCTCAAACTTATTATAATCTACTCCACTGTTAATATGTTAAAATTTATTGTTTTTATAAGCAAAAACCTTTTAATGACAAAGTAGCTCCCTAATACATGATAACCTAAAGCTAGCCCTCCAATTACAACTGTTAGGTGATGCCTGTTTATATGTAGATGATCATGAGGAGTTACATCTTTTCTCTCCTCCCCTTCCCATCCAGTCCTGTAGTCTATTTCTTGAACAAGGCAATGAACTCATTTCCTCTCCTCCATTTCCAGATGTTCTGGGACCTCCGAGGCTGCAGAAGCCACTGGTCTCTCCTAAGACCAACCGAACTCCATGCCATAGAAACCTGAAACGTGATTTCCCTTCCTAAACTCACCACCTCCATTAACTGCTCATAATTTTGATTTAATTATGTTTGACCTAGTCACTCAGGCATGGTTTTATTGTATCACAGTCTTTTCTTAGGTATAATTGACCTTCCTCACCTTCCCATTTCTTGTGTTATGGTCACTGCCTGTGTTTTCTAGGTTGTCTACCATAGAACCTGCTTCTTAAACTGCTATTAAATAAGCCATCTTTTTGGTTGAGGTGATGGCAGGGAGCATGTAACTCAGTGCGTGACACAGAGTCCAGTCTTGGCACAGCATACCAGGTGCTCTACAATTAACATTTGTTCGCTTAAATGTCCCTGGGTGTGGTCCAAACTGTTCCCTCCTGTTGTTAAAGTGCTTTAAAGATTAAAGTTTTGTTGCCAAAAAATATTTGAAGCAGTTCTTAAAAACGTTGTTTCCAAATACATATACTGAGTTTATATATTAGGAACTGGGATTATGTGTTACCTAACATTTCCACGTCTTTGTGTCTGAAGCCTCAACCACTCTGCAGTTTTAAGTAATAGAAAAGACTCTCGGCTCAAAATGGGGACAGGGGCATGTTGTGACTAGTAATACTGTGGCAGATTCTCACAAAGTCACGAGGACACCTTGACCCTCCCCTGCCAGGCCCCTTCTGCTCCCATACTACTCTCCAGGCTCACAGTTGGCGGTTCTACGCCCGCGGAAAGAGTGAACTTGAGCTAGCATAGCTACCTTGAAAGAATGAGGTCAAGTTCCTCAGAAGTTTCGAAATGGCAAAAATCACTGTTTTTGTGTCACTTGGCACCAAATTTTCAAAAGCCACTGTTATAACTACTTAATGCACACAAGACTTGAGTAGAATCACTGGTTTAAAAACAAAAACAAAAAGGATAGAACCTTAGAAGGATGATGGTTTCAGAGCTACTGCTCGGAAGGCAGTTCCAAGTTTATAAACTGGGGGGTCAAGGCACAGAATGAATTTTATGATAAAATTTTCAGCCATGTTATGAGTTAAATAGACTTTAGCGGTCTGGACCGGAAACCCATCCCCCATGTAAAACGTTTCCCTTGGGGATGATGTCTTCAGTCCTCAAGGGGGCGAGAACAGAGCAGTTGTCTCCCCTCCAGTTAAGGTAGGAAGCCCCACCACGAGCTTGGGAGAAGGCAGCACGGCAGCTCAGGAACCATCCCCACTCCTGGAGACTCCGGAAGGGATCCAGTTCAGGTCGTCCCTGGGCCAGCTACTTAGTGGAGCCACATGTTGATCAGGGGGATGTTAACATTCTGAGACACCGAAATGTTTGCAGCTCAACAGAAACCAGGGTCACACTAATTTCTGTTTAGCTTCCTCTCCAGTCCCAGCAACCCCCATCCTGCAGCTGGAGGAGTGTTGCACTCACAACAACAGCGCCACACTGTCCTGGAAACAGCCACCTCTGTCCACGGTGCCTGCGGAAGGCTACATTCTGGAGCTGGATGACGGCAACGGTGGTCAGTTTCGGGTAAGCAGAGAACCTGCTACTTGTCAACCAAAGCCACTGACCACCTCAGAGAGCCCACCATGGGGTCTCAGGCCAAGCTTCCCCATCTCTCCTAGAGCCAGACCATCCTGGCAGGGCCTGCCTGCCCTTCAACTGAGGCTTGTGTTCTCCTTGAACCATTAAAGATGGATGATGGAGTCTCTGAGTAGAAACTGCCCTACGCTTCTTCAGAGAAAGCGGATGCAGTGCTGTAAGCTCTGGGGTCAGACTGTGTGCTCCCATATCTGGACTCCACCATCTAGCTGTGTGACTGCCCATTTCTCACCTCGTTGAGCCCTCGGGACCCCCTCATTTGGAAAATGAGGATAATATTAACATGTACCTTATGCATTTTTGTTAAGAGTCAATTAGACAACCCGTATGCAATTCTCAGCATGCCAGGATCCCCAACCCCAATCGTGTTAGTATCCCACCAGACAGTCGTCATTTTAAGGCTGTGCTTGGAATACAAATTATTTTTACTCATTACATCAGCATAATGTTGCAAAGCATACAGCTAAAGAGGGAGGCACATGCCTAACCTATGCTAAAGATGCATTATGCTATGATTTATTTTAAGCCTTTGAAATGTCATTCTTCCTCCAGCCCCTGTTTCCTCCCCCTTCCCTCTGTACCACGATAAAACCGATATTCCTGTGACTTTGAGGGTAGTCTTTGTGACAGTTTCTGAAATTACCAGTGGAGTTATAAACATAGTAGAGACCACCCTCATGTTTCCAAACCAGTTTTTAAAAATCTCACGGAAGGGTAAAGAGCTCGGTAGGTATAACATATTTATAAACGCCAAGTTAATAATAGTATGCATAATGCTAACTAAAGCACCCAGTTTTAATTTTTTAAGCCCTAGCCACTAGTAAGTGGCATTCATTAAGGTGTGAGGCCCATGCTAAATGTAAGGCACTGTGTCAGTTTGCACACATGACCTCCATATATGCTCATATAGCAACCTCATAAAGTGGGCATTACTGTCCCCGTTTTACAGATGAGGACACTGAAACGAAACAAGGTCAATTAAATGGCTTAAGATCTCACAGGATTTGAACCAGATCAGGCTGACACTAAAATGCTTGCTCCTAACCTCTGAGCGACAGTGCCTCCCCAACCCCTCACGGGAGATGGTGTTAAACGGTGGCCTGTTATTTGTTGACCCTCAGGAAGTGTATGTTGGAAAGGAGACGATGTGCACCGTGGACGGTCTTCACTTCAACAGCACATACAACGCTCGCATCAAGGCCTTCAACAAAACAGGAGTCAGCCAGTACAGCAAGACCCTGGTCCTCCAAACGTCTGAGGGTAAGGCCCTTCAGCAGTATCCCTCAGAGCGAGAACTTCGAGGCATCTAAAATGGCTGGCAAGCCCGGAGGTAACCCCACCACTGCCCACATTCTCAAGTGTTTCCATGACTTGCTCTGCATTCTGGCACAAGGCCGCTGTTCCTCTCCTGCCGTTAGAGAGCCCATGGTATGTGGATGTGATCAAACCAAAGAGTCCACAGCAGCAGTTCAAATGGCCTGGGGCGTCGGCTTCCTTTGATAACATTCTAAATAAGCTGCAGTTGAAGAAGCTGAAAAATGAAGGCCTGAATGTCCCCCCCCGGTGTGTGACACAAATGTATCTAGGCTCTAGGGCAGGCTCCCATTCTCCACGATACACATCACTTGCCAGTTTTGCCCAGATGATTCTAAATTGCTTTGTAGTGCTTGCTTGTTTCTGAGGGTGGGACCGAGGTTCTTTCCAGCTGTGGATTTGTGTGACTGAACATGTTTCCAGTGGGTGTGGGTGCTAGAGCTGTTCAGAGAGGGCCTGTTGGCCACTCCTGGCTTCCCCAGCACGGACCGCTTCCATCTCACCCAAAGCCGAGGCCGGCGGCGCCTGGACTGAGGCTTCCTGTGGGCACCAAACAGGAAGTGACCAGCAACTCCGCATTACCTCGCCATTTTCACCTTTGCCCGTCCCTCTAGGCTTGGTCAGGCCACCTTAGGGCCACCACACAAGGTCACTCTCTAGCGAACACTCGCTTCTTGGCTGTACTGTAAATAGTTTGGCCATCAAAGACAAGCCATTCCCCTCGGAAGAGGGGCTTGAATTTGATGACCGGGTATAACCTCTGAGGCTTTTAACATTTTCATTTTAAAAGCAATCACAGCACATGAAATTAAACCTATGAAGAGGTATTTGTGGTTGGTGCCAAAGCATTTTCAGACCCCCTGGGTGTCATTTTAATCACAGAAGTGACCCCCCACCGTCATTCCCCCATGACCTCTGTCTGCAGAACTATAATTGTGTTGATTTTGTTCAAATTCAAGATGTTAGCTAAAAGAACTGTGGTGGTGTTTTTTTCCCACGTCCCACAGACCTTGGCATGTGCCAGCCACCCTTAAAATGGTTCACATGGTTAAAAACAAGCACAACTTCAAATCCCACAGCAAGGTTGGCAGGTCCCTAGCCATACAAACCGTGCCTGGGGAGCAGGGGTAAGTCTGTGAGGGACGGTATTCGAAGGGAAGGATTCGCTGAAGGGAAAATGGCCGCGTGACCTATTCCCGTCGGGTTATGGGGATGTGGCAGCGACAGCCTCCCGAATGATCACGTTAGCAACTTCTCTCTGGGATGACCTATCCGCTTGAGAGCAGTTGCCTCTTTTCCCAAAGCACCATGCTAAATGCTAAAGCCCTCAAGAGTTGCCTCGATGCAGGGCATAAGGCCCTTCCTGATGATGGCCTCGTTTCCCACGTGCATACCAGGCATACAAGGCGGTTTGATTGAAGAGTGAAGTGCATGCCATCAGAGCAGGGAGCCAGTTTGCAGCAATGTTGCTAATATGTGTCATGAGACCTCCTATTTCTACTCATAATCCATCATGGAAATCATATTCTTCTGCTAAAATCAGTTATTAGCATAGCAGCTTGAGCATTCACGTTTCTCTTTTCATCCTGCAGGAGGATGTAGTTTCTCAGTTTCTCTTAATGTTCATAAGATTATGGTGTCTAATAAATTCCAGGATTGGAACTGCGATCCCCGTCACAGAACTGGGGGTCATTTTCTAAAAGAAACTAACGGAACAAGTCCTCTTCCAACAAAGAAACTGTACTGTAGAAATTAATTTCCTCCATGAATTTTATATATTGTGTACAAATATAAGGTATGTATCTAAATACAAAGAAAACCTTATCATCTTGTAGATATCAGTATTCTCTGTTACTGCCCAGAAGTGATTTTCTCATGATGAAATAAAGTTCACACACATACTTTCTCCATAACTTTGGTTTGTTCTATTTGTTTCTCCCTCATTCTAATCCATTCAAATGGTGAGACAAGGTTTAGAAAGCAAGAAAAAAAATATCATGAATGGCCAATTAAAAAGAAAAAAAAGATTTGATCAACCTTGTAATGATAGAGAAAACCTAGAGAATTAAAGAGTCATATGTAGATATATATATATATGTGTGTGTGTATACATATACATATATACACACACACATATATATATATGTTTTTTTTTAGAAATCAGTGAGAAAAATGCCATTGACAGAGATCAATACATTAACTGAACTTATATTATCCTCTATTAATCTTACTTCCTACAGCTCCTGGAAAGGTTTGCTTTGGAAAACATTTTTTTTCTTTGCTGCTATTGGGGGTGATGTGGTGGTTCGTTTTGGCTTTCTATTGTAACAAATCTTGTGCGGTCTTCGTAGCAAGAGCTAACCCCTTTCCAAGTTTCAAAACAAAAATCTGTATTACAGAAGGGTATTATTTCATATGTGATAGCAAGTCTGACTTGTATTTACATGCATTTAGTCCGAGGTTTAAATCACTTATCACTTATACTGTTCGAACTGTCATAAAACCATCTGCTGACTTACAGGTAACATTATTCAGGGGAGATCACATGTCCACATTGTTGGAAATGCTGACCATTTTTTCTGACAGCAATTCTGTGTATTTATTGGGCAGTGTTTGGTAAATGTTCAGTGTCTGTTACGCTGTGAGTTTAGAGGGTTGAGTAGATGTCGTCCCTGCTTTCATGAGCTTACAGTCTAGGAAGAGAGATGGTCCTTAAAAAAACAGACACACGGCTAGTTATGTACATACAAGTTATTATAAACCCTGGGAAGGAAGGAAAAAGGACTAGTAGGAAGACATAATTTGTATGCGGCGTGGGGGGGGGGGAGGCGGGGAATTTATCAGGAAAACAATGAAAATAATGTAATTCAATGGAAATGATAAAGAATGTGTTATTAAAAGAGACAAGGAAAGGAAAATGCATTATTGGATGAATTCAAATGTGGTTAGTTCCCTGAAAGCAGAGTTCTTGGAAATATACCTAAAACAGCCATGCAAATAAAGCCAGTTGCAGATCTAAACCAAATTACCCCCCGACTGAAGAAGATATATAACTGTAAGCAATTAAGAATCTTTATGAAATTTTAAAATAAGGCCCACAACCCCAGTTGTATATATTTTTAAAGTAACCCATTTAATAGCCACCATGGCTGTGTCACAGTCTTTGAAACCATCTGCAAAAGAGTATCCATTATGTAATAGGGCCTTGTTCCTACTAGAGTTCCGGGGCTTATTCTGTGTGGGAGACTCCTCCTGAAACAAAAAAAATTTTCTAGGCAAGGCTGAGAACAGAATAGGAAAACCTCCTATTGATGTTTCCCTATTTTCCCTTTACCTAACTAAACAGACTTACCTTTTTCTTTTTCTTTAATCTGGAGAGAAAATGAAATAGACCGAAGGTAACATTCCTGGGGCTCAAATAACTATTAACTGGCTGAAATGAGAGGGTCTCTCTCTGACCCACCTCTCAGAGGAGAGAATTGCGAGCGAATTGCTTCACACAGTCTGAGCATAGGTGGGAGTCCTTCGGGGAAATTAGAACATGAAGCGTGGCACTCTTTACTCAGTATATACTCTCCAACACAAATCTTTGTGTAAAAAGATTATCTTCCTTAGACAAATTCTTAGAATTAGAATTATTGGACCAAGGAGTAGGAACATTTTTAAGGCCCTTGATCTGTGTTTCTAAATTGCTTTCCAGATAGATTTTACACCAGAAATGTATGAGCCATTCTGTTTTTTAAAATCACCTTACTTCTATTTGGAGTTTAATTTCAACTAACAAGCAGCCCCCTAAAAGTGAGTGTTTCTCAAACAGGGCTTTTGAAATTTATATTTTCATGGAAATAATATCTCAATTGTTTTACATATAAGAGCTACATGAAATATGTTACAACATATTGCAGGGAAAATGAATATAATCTAAAAAGGAGAGAAGACTTCCCAGAGAGTAGAGAGACAGAAATCCAAACACAGGGAATAACTGTATGCAAGGCGAAAACTTCAAAGTCTGCCTTGAGCTGGCTATGATAAAGAAACCTCACTCATTCAAAAGCATTAATTGAGCACCTCAATTTTGTCAGGTACTGTGCTGGGCCCAGGGTCACAAAGATGCATGAGACATGGCCCCTGCCCTGGAGTTTATAGGCTCCACCCCTCCTCCCTCCTGAACTCCATGGCACCTGACTCAAGAGTGCCTGAAAACTATGGTATCTCACCTTTCTAGAACTAAGATATCCACCCTGAAATCTAGATGGTCATCTTACAATCAAGAAGTGACAATGACCTCTTACTGGCAAAAAAAAAAAAAAAAAAAAAAAAAAAAAAAAAAAAAAAAAAAAAAGGTGGGGGGGCGGGCAACAAAGTTCAGGTGTAGACACTCCTGTGTCTTTACAGCAGGGCCCCTGGTCTCCCTCAGTTCTTGCTTAGTCTTACTTTACACACAAGTCCGAGAGCTCCTTGACCCAGCTGGGAAGACCACAGCAGACTAGGATCTTCACATTAGAAGAGACAAGAAGGGTTGGTGATCAGGGAAGGTAACAGAAAACTGAGAACAGACCCGGAGGAGGGGGGAGTCAAAAGAGAGCATTCTGTGGCTTGGGTTCTGATTAAGAAAGAAAGCATACATGAATTTTAAAAATATTTCCATCTAACATTTAAAAGTACATTATCTGGAACCCTTCATAATGAGCATTAGGTGTCTCTCAGAAGGCTTTATGGGATCACAGTACAAAATACACTGAGAAAACTATTGCAATCAACTGCCTCATTTCTACATTGTCCAGTAAAAGAGTCCATGAAAAATGACAGCAACATGACAGCCAGCAAGTATTTTTAGGAGACTGAAATCCAGTGGAGGAATTGTATAAAAACTATCCATTCTATGTTTCATTCTAAGCTTCTGAGGAAAAACTAGGAATTTTTTTCTGTTCACTCTAAGACAGCTA